TTTGCATATATCGTTTAGTTATAGTTAGATACTACGAACTCCTAAACTTTGGCTCAAAAAAAGATTATTGAGAGTCAATCAAAGCCCTGTAGATCATTCTAGAAATGTTCTAGAATCGATTTCCATTTTTGGTAATATTCCCAACTATATTTACCAATTAAATTTATATTAATTTACTTTCTATATAGTCACAATCACTTTATAGTCACTATCACATTTTTTAAAAACTAAAGTAATAAAAATATATTAAATTTATCTTGGTAAAGTTACAAAAAAATATATATAGTAGTATACTATATAACCATAATTTTTATTTTACAATTGAATATATAGAATTAATATCTAAAATTAAATTTTCTAAATTTAATTACTGTATAAGAATATGGATTAAATAATGATAATATCAATTTAAATTTTTTTGTTGCAATAGCAACAGAATCAACTTATGTTATTCAGTAACAAGAAGTAATAGTTGCTACATCATACTAAAAGTAGCATAGATAATATAAGAATATTTTAAAAAATTATAATCTTTATTATTCATTAAATATGAAGCAAAAAATAGAAAAGCAGTATCTATTATAGTTTATTAAAGATTAAAATATGAGTTATATCTATTATATTTGTATCAAAATATCAATTATTTGTTTTAAAGCTTCAAATTTTGGTAGTATATTACCAAAATAGTAAGTTACCAGTAAGCTACTTGTGAAATAACTCATATTTTATTTAGCAAATTGTTTAATTATGAAATTTTCTAATGATGATATAATTATTTTGTAATTTAACACAAAAATTTATAATTGTTTACTGGTAATTTACCAAGCCCACTATAGTAAAGTATTTACTAACCACCTGCACAATAGTATTAGAATACCAAGATTACTGCATTCTAGTATTATAGTATTCACAATACTGTATTACAACATTGTAACAATGCTAAATTCATAATAGCTTACTGATAATTTACTAAACTTACTATAGTAATTTACTACTAATCTGCATAATGGTTCTAGAATATCAAGATTGCTAAATTACAATCATTGTGACAAGGATCTCTGTATTCATAAAAATAATATTTATATTACAGGTTGAATCAACAATATTAGGTATATACTGGTAGAAAAGTTTCTTGATATATATACCTGTTAGTTTGCTATAGATCTGCCAAATAACTGCTAAATATCAGCAGTATATTGGCATTATATTGGTAAGATATCAGAAGATAGATCAATACTAGTAACATAACAGCACAATATTGGAATACACTGATATCTTACTCTTAGCATTTTGTATCTTACCAATATGCTGCCAATATGCTTCTAATATTCAGCAATTATTTGGTATTGATTTAGCCTATATATCATAAAAGCAGTTGTGTTTCAGGTCAATTCTATGAAAATTGTAGAAAAATAATGATTATGAAAAGCAAAAACTTGTAATAGGCTAAAGCATATAAATGTAAATAAAGTTAGTAATTTTGAAATAGTAAAAGAAAATAATAAAATGAATAAAAGTAAATAATTTCTATTGCATAGCCCAAAATCAATCATAAAAGAAATTATTTAGTATTGAATATGAAATTCAATTAGATAGAATCTTTTAAGATATTAGATGAACCTAAAATATAAAAAGAAGTATTTTAAGATTAATAAAATATTAAAAAGTTGTGCAAAGCCTTAAAATTTTCTTAAATATTAGTTTGTATTTGTATATAATACTTCTAATTTTCATGTCTAAAAAAATATACAGTCAATTAAACAATGCCTAGTATAAAGAAATTTGTAAATATTCTAATAAAAATCTATTAGCAAAACAACAAAATATTGCTAATAAATTTACACAAAGATACGCCAAATTAAATCTTGATCACTCAACTATTTCTAAAATTTTTAAAAAAAAGAGCAATATTTGAATCTTGAAAAAAATATTACAACACAAAACCGTTATAAAAACAGGGGACCAAAATATCCTTCGCTTGAAAAAGCAATGAATATTTGGGTTTGTTTCTTTTTTTTTTTTTTTGCCTTTATAATGAAATACTATGAGGGCAATATTATCACATTTTATAGATTAGTCAAGTTTTAGCACCGGTTTGGTCCTTATAGATAAATTGGTAAAATTGAAGGGTTGTGAGTTTGGTAGGCTTCTTAGTATTTTTGAAGACAAATTAAAGTTTTCAAATGGATAAATAACCAATTATAAAAAACGAAATTCTTTACGTCGATACAAACTTCATAGTGAAGCTGCAAGTACACCTTTAGAATCTATACCAAATGAAAGAATAAAACTCCAGAGACTTATTTCTCAATATGACTTGGAAGATGTATACAATGCTGATGAAACTAGATTGTTTTATTGTATGTTGCCAAATCAAACACTAGCTAAGTGACCTGTTTCTAGATCAAAACAAGTAAAATAATTTTTATTATTAGTTGTCGGAGCTAAAATTGGATGATGTTGAAATTTTGACTTAAATATAAAATTTTAAAATTTTTGAAACATTTTTTCAGCTTTTTTTTTTTAAAGTTAGATTAGGTATAGGGTTAGTATTTATAATAAAAGTATGTGGGCAGATTTTAGTAGGGATATGTAATAAAAAATACCCTAATCTATTAGATATTAATAGAAATAAAGTTTCTGTTTGTATATATATATTCAGGCAAGATTGGCAATAGAGCTAATGGAGCTCAATAGCTATGCGAATGGAGCTCAAAAAACTAGTATCCATTGGCTCTATTGATTCTATTTGCAGCTCTATTGGGCTCTATTGAACTTCATTGCCAACTCTGCGTTCAGATTATTTTTGCTAAGTATCCTGTGATCTTGATATAATAATCAGGGTATATATTTTTAAATCAAGATCCTAAATTTCATTATCATCTGACTTTAATTAAATCTTAAAATTTAAAATTCTGAAATTTCAAACTTAAAATTTCAAAATTTTAAAATTTAAAATTTTCTGCTTAATTATAATAATACAGAATAAATCATGTGTTATGGTACTACTTGCTGCTAATACAGCAGATACATACAAACTATGCCATTTAGTCATTGGCCATTTGAAAAAACTATGAAATTTCAATGGTATAAAGTTATTACAACTTCTAGTTACTTACAAAAATATTAAAAAGGCATGGATGATGTTAAAAATTTAGAAAAAATAGTTACGCTTTGTCGATTCTGGGTTTTGCATCTAAAATAGAAAAATCCTTCTTCTTGTAGATAATGCATTATCCTATAGTTCACCTGAAGTGCCTAATAATACAAATAAAACATCTAGTATCAATAATACAGATCAATTAGGTTCTGAAAATTATGCTGAAGGTGATCAATTAGATTCTGAAAATGATGCTGAAAATGATCAATTAGATTCTGAAAATAATGCTAAAAATAATGAAGATAATGCAGATCAATTTGTTTTTGAAAATAATGCTAAGAATAATGAAAATAATGGACAACCAAGAAAGAGAGGAAGAAAAGCAGTTGGAAGACCATGGGGAAGGCTACGGAAAAGTATACTGGGAAGACCACAAGGAAGCACACGGTGAAGCACATGAGAAAATATACAGAGAAGGCCACAGGGAAGGCCACAAAGAAGACTATGGGGAAGTATATGAGGAAGACCGCAAGTCACTAGCACTACTTTATGTCAACGAAAAATAAGAGAACCTTTAGAGACGTTAAAACTTACAAATATTACTCTTCATTACCTTCTACCCTACACAACTGCATATCTTTAGCCAATAGATGCTAGTATAATCAAATTATTCAAATCAAAATATAAACATCTATATTGTAAGCATGTTTTTAAACAATATGAATCCAATACTAACATAGAAAAGTTTATATAATTATTGTCATAGCTGAAGTTGATATTTGAGATTTTTTTTCTTGAAAACCTACTAAACCTACATATACTCTTCGATTAAAAAACCTAATTCTAAATTCTAAAAAAAAAAAAAAATTTAAAAAAAAAAATTAAAATAAGACCAACTCTTAGCTTTAGCTATAATAATTGCATATTTATTTGATATGTATATTCTGTGAACTAAGTTCTACAAATTTTAGAACAATTTATACCTGAGTACTTAAGTATAATAATATCATACTTAAGTACTCAGGTATATAACCATAAAACATAACTATATTCTGCTTTTTTCTTACAGAAAAAAGCTATCTGTAAAAATAACAATCAATTTTATTGTGGAGTCGTAGGATAAGGTAAATGATACAACTATTTAGAACTGTTGAGGCAAGACCAAAATTCTTTTAAACACAAGTGAATTAGAAATGGATACCGTAGATCAGCATATTGAAAGCAATGTCTTGTTAGATAATAACGAAGTTGAGACTATAATTTCTAATTTATTAGATGAGAGTTTATATTTAGCTAAGACTGTCTAGACAATATTAATGTATATACAAGCCGTTGATAAACCTATTGCTACAGAAGAAATACTTGATGATGAGGGAATAATTTCTATGGTTCAAGCCAAGAAAAATAATGATAAGCCAACCGAGCAAAAAATTGAGGAAGAGGATGAAGACAAAGTACCTGAACCACTAGTAATAGTTGCTGAAGTATATAGTACAATGCAAACCGTTATTCGCTATAAAGAGCAAGAAAATTCAGAATCAAATTTGTTGTTAGATGAATTAGGATTTTTAAGAAAACTACTCAAAGAGTATAAACATGTATATGAAAAATCAAAAAAGCAATTAAAGATCACTAGTTTCTTTACTTTTCCAGATTCATACTCTAATAGCTCATATCTCCAAGACTCCTATCCCTATGATTTGTATTCTCAAGATTCGTATCCTTATAATTTATATTCCCAAGACTTGTATCTTCAAGATTCGTATTTCTATAACTCACATTCCTCAGACTTATCTTCATGAGACTCTCAGTCGCAAGATTTGTATTCACAAGATCTATATCTACAAAATTTGTATTTCTCGAATTCATCTTTCTTTTATTCTCAAGATTAATTTCAATATTACTGACTGAGATTTTTTTTTTAAAAAAAAAAAATAAAAGT